CTATGGACTGTTATGGCATTGAATTTCTGCCAATTTGTAAGCAGCCTTGAATCACCTTCGAGCTGAGAAAGGCGGGATAGAAATAGCGTAAATAAATAAATAATAAATAGATTGTATTTTGTTATCATGGCTAATGGATATCAACAAACTGATCAATGACTTTACTTTTAAAAATAATTTTAAAGTCTATGCTGAAGTTGAGAAGCTTGAAATTGACTGTTGTTCAATAAAATAGTATGTCTGTTGTGAACCTACTGCCAATCAGCTTCTTTGGGTGAATGTAATTTTTAGTATTACGAGAAGGGTAAACATTTCCTTATTTAAACACTCTGCTTTAGATTTTTAAATACCGGTACTCAATTTTATCAAGATTCCAAATATGATTCCAAATCTTTATTGAATGAATAATCCCCTATTTATCTCTGGAAGGTTTTTGATATATTCGATCCTGTCTGGATAACATGTGAAGGAGTGATAATTTAATAACATGGATTTAAAGTGGCTGAACTGTTCAAGGAAACATCTTTAAAAGTGAGAATTACAGCCAGAACTGGATCAAAGAATGAGATAAAAGCTGGAAATCAATGCATAGTTTAAATGTCTGGCTCTTTGTCCATGTGTTGAAATACAATCTTGTGTATATGTATTTGGGAGTTAATCCCATTGAACATAGTATTGTTCACGTCTGCACTAGCCTCAGTCATTATTCTTGTTTTAGGTGAGAAAACTGTCTTTATGTTTATATCCTGAGAAAATCAAAACCTTCACCATCCTGTCATTTATCGTGTCCTGCAGTTGATGGTGGTTGGTGGTGGCAGACCTAGCAGTTGGTAATGGAAGGGTTAATGTAAGTCTTAGTTCTCAAGGGTTGAGTAATCTGTACATAAGAGTTCATGGGTGAAAGCAGTTAAGGCTGGAGGTTCCTGAACCTTTGGAATCCTGAAACCTTGAATCTTTGGATTGGCTTGTGAGTACGGTATAGACTCTTGATCCCTGGACTTTGCTCATTGAACACTTGGCGTTTGACCACTGGATTGGACCTTCTGACTACAGTGTTATCTTGAACCTGCAACAGTATTTGCTGTCAGTTTTTGTTTTAAATTCTGTGGCTGAGTGCTATCTTTATGTTTTATTCTATTGGCTCTTTTGCCGCTGCATCACATTGTTGGCTTATGTTTAACTTGTTGTCCACGAGGACCCCAAGATCTTTTTCACACGTACTGCTTTCGAGCCACGCGTCCCCCATTCTGTATCTTTGCATTTCATTTTTTCTGCCTAAGTGGAGTATCTTGCTTTTGTCTTCTACAACTGTTTAATGAGGTCAAATCTTTGTGACTACTGTTTAGAGTTATATTGAAGGAGTGAAATCATAACTCATAAGTCACCATCGTAATGTAAATGTTGATATTGAGAAAAATAATTAAGGTAAAGGTAAAGGTTTCCCCCTGACATTAAGTCTATTCGTGTCCAATTCTGGGGGTTGGTGCTCATCTCCATTTCTAAGCCGAAGAGCCGGCATTGTCCGCAGACACCTCCAAGGTCATGTGGCCAGCATGACTCCACGGGAAAATAATTAATTATGATTAAATCATTATTTGCAGATAGACTTTAGAGTTGGAAAGGGCCCCCTATTAATATAAGAAATCTCAAGCAGGTCTGACATTCCAACTCATTTCAAAATCCTCAACTGAAGGAGAGTCCATCCCTTTTTGGGGTGGTTTGCTTGAATGTCAACAGCTGTCAAAACACTCATAAAACACTCATAAAAGAAAAGTTGCTAACCAGAGACTCCAAATGGCAATAACCAACTTCACAGGAACCAATTCTGCATTGCTAGTGGGAAACAGTGAAGATTGGAACACTCTTTTTTCGGTTTCAGGGTTTTGAAAATTCAGGTGCCCATTACATTTGATGGCGCACTAGATTCGAGTAAACACGGTATTTGACCAGTAAGAAATATATACACCGCAACCTCATCCACACAATATACAATCTAATATATAATCTGTTTATTTCAGACATGCCACAGTAGCATTTCTCAGTGAAAGGGGGAAAGTACAATCCTCCTCCCATGTGAGTCAAGTCAGAGTGATTCAGCTCAGTCACACAATGAGTTTTATAACCCAGTAACAACATGGGCATGGATTTCTTAAGTACCAACCCCATACTGTAACAAATACACCACTCTGGTTTAGGTCATTTTCAGCTTTGGACCATTATGGGAAAATGCTTCCTTATGCTTCCCGCTATCATACTCGCTACTTGTTAATGAGAGATACAGAGTCTCAGGACCTCATCCCACAAGGGTGGGGGGAGTGGGGGGAATCGTCTTTGAAGTGTGGTGTTCAGTGGCCTTCCATTTCCAAAGGAAATTGAGAATTTAACAATAGTTCCCATCCCATTTTAAAATCCAACAGTTCATCTCACCTTAAAATGAAACAATTCCCATCCCACCTTAGATAGCGATTTCTGTCATTTCTATGCGCAGGAAGAGCAATGAAGTCCATTCCTGGCTTCACAAGTTTTCATTTCTATACACTTTAAAGACAAAATCCACTGGAAGCAGTCCTGTGTTGATTGTATTGTCGAAGGGTTTCATGGCCAGAATCACTGGGTTGTTGTGAGTTTTCCAGGCTGTGGCCATGGTCCACAAGCATTCTCTCCTGACATTCGTCTGCTTCTACGGCAGGCATCCTCAGAGGTTGTGAGGTTACCTCAAAACCTCTGAGGATGCCTGCCATAGATGCAGGTGAAATGTCAGGAGAGAATGCTTCTGGAACATGGCCATACAGCCTGGAAAATCCACAACACTCCAGTCCTGTGTTGTTTGATGGACTCTGTGGGACTCCTCCTTTAAAGTGAATAGAAATGATAAGAAGGAAATTCCCTCCACTTTCCCCCTCTTGTGGGATGAAGTCTTCACCTATCCTTGCTGGGGAAAAAACCAGATCTTGCAGATGTCAGGAACAATGCTTGTCTTAACATTAAAACAATAAAAGGTAGCTGTTATGCAGCTGGAAAGATCCTTGGTTCCTGCCTTGCATCATAAGCACCAAATAGGCAAAACTCTGGTGAACCAATTCACCTTTATGAGACACTGTTCCAGGGTTTATGATGAGTTGCAATCACCATGCTGATGACAATGAGATATAATTCCTTGAGTTAAAGGGTGGTTAGAAATAGAAGGTTCCTTGGCAACAAAACACAAAAGACTTGCAGCTATTTCTCATCTTTTTTGGACCTTCTGCAACATTTTATGGACCAGGCAGAATTGTTGTGAAACAAAAGAATGGCCTGAAAATCAGAGTACTGGTACACTGAGTACACCGGTGAACAAGCTCAACTCATTCTTGACAAAATTAAAGGAGGGCCATCTTCTTGACATTTCAATGGGTGGCTTTAACATTCTGGGCAGAATCTTTTCTTTAAAAAGCAGCTGGATATCTGGATGTTCAAGTGAATCCCATATTCAGCAGTGTCTTTCATCAGATGCATCTGCTTTGCAAATTACATTACCTCCCAGGATGCAGTGACACTACATTCACCCCCCCCCCCCCCCCCCCCCCCCCCCCCCCCCCGCCTCCTACATTGCCATTTGGACTGTTGTCATATGCTTGATGGAGTTACCCCTGAAGAATAACTACTTTCTAGGTCAGTGGTTCTCAACCTGTAGGTCTCCAGGTGTTTTGGTCTACAACTCCCAGAAATCCCAGCCAGTGAGCTGTTAGGATTTCTGCGAGTTGAAGGCCAAAACAGGTTGAGAACCACTGTTCTAGGTGAACTTCATGGTGCTCCCTTCTGCTTCCTACCATGGTATTAGTTAGTTTTAATGAATGATATGAGCCTTGCAGTTCTTTGTCTAATGAGCCGGTTTAACCTTTTAAAGGCACAGAATGGTTTGGGATCAGGATACCTTGGGCTCCCGTTGCCCTGAGAGGAAGAGGTGGACAAACGAACATCTGCTCTAAATGTTCTGGTCATCAGAGACAAGAATACAGACTAGAAAGAGCTTTCTCAGTCACAATGTACATCTTTGAATTGTTGGCAAGTGTACCTTATGACAGTTTTTGTAGGAGTCGTGGTTTCAACAAGTTTCAGCTCTGTTTCTTTGAAGTTATTACTAATTTCCTTGGGGGTTGTGGTGGTTTCAAATAGTGTCTCAAATACTCAAATGTTTAATTTGATATTTATTTATTTACTAGCAGTCTCTTGTCATGCATTGCTGTGGCCCAGTCTGTGTATATGTGTATTGTGTATGTATATATTTGTGTTTATGTGTATATATGTGTGGCTGTGTATATATGTGGTTTTGTGCATGCATTGTAATGTATTTTTTGGGGTGTTTGGCTTTTTAAGTGTCTTCTGCTGTGCTTTTCAGTGTTTTGATGAGTGATGGTCACTCGCTGGTCTGATATGTGTATTATGTCCGAATTTCGTGTCAATTTGTCCAGTGGTTTTTGAGTTATGTGAATCCCACAAACAAACATTACATTGTATTGTCGAAGGCCTTCATGGCCAGAATCACTGGGTTGTTGTAGGTTTTTTCGGGCTATATGGCCATGTTCTGGAGGCATTTTCTCCTGACGTTTCGCCTGCATCTATGGCAAGCATCCTCATAGGTAGTGAGGATGGCCTCACTACCTCTGAGGATGCTTGCCATAGATGCAGGCAAAACATCAGGAGAAAATGCCTCTAGAACATGGCCATATAGCCCAAGAAAACCTATAACAACCCAAACATTACATTTTTATTTATATAGATTCTGTGAACCAGCTCATGGACCAGGTACTATTCACAGGGCAGGGCAGGGCAGAAATGAATCAAATGCATAAACCTGATTCAGTTTGGTAGCCAATTCTGCCAAATGTTGCCTGTATCAGTGTTTCACACACATTCTTTCTTGTGCTCTGTAATTTGGGAATATGCTGTGGTTTCAGTATAAAGCGGAAGTGATGACAAAAGGAAAGATTTAGTCTCTTGTCTCTGGATTGGTAACTTACCAGTCACTACAGGGTATGTCTGGGGTCCTGACACGTTGTTCCCCAGGTCTGGGTTAGCAGAGGTGGATAGACTTGACTTGACTTCATCTAGACCAGGGGTCAGAGCTGGGAGGGAGTACTCATTACCCTAGGGAGGAGAGAAAAGAAAGCTCTCTAATTGACGGACTGGAAAGAAGGGAACAGTGGGCAGATGGGGGAGGGAGTGAAGGTTAGGAAGAGGAGCAATGCAGTCTCTGCAAGGACGGAAGCCGAGAAAGAGGGAATAGAGCAAATGAACCTACAGCCACTGCCCCATCTGTCCTATGTCAAGTACCATTTGCTTCCTGTATTGCTCGGATTCTAAATATATGAGCCAAATTTAAAGTTTTTCAGGAACCAAGGATACAAAGGGAAGGGTTTGGGGGAGTTTTGACTGGGTGAGCTTGTCTAATGCTGTCTAAGAATGATACTACAGGCTTAATCATTCCCTCTGCAGATTGAAGGCTGTTTACAGATTGTACACAAAGTTTCCGCTATAGTGAAGATTCTCTGGGGTGTTTGCACTATAAAAAGGAGGGTGTCTTCTGGCTAGTTTCTCCCCATAGCTCATTTTTGGGCTCTTATTCTTTAAAGAACCCCCCCTTGCTTTCTCTAACTCTTGTGCACTGGGGTATGAAATTGGGGGTGGGGGCAGGCCACATGGTTAACAGAAGGGTGGGAGGGGGAAAACTCATTGCATCTGAAAGGGTGTCCTGTCCAAGAGGCATTAGTAATTGCCTTTTTATTGTGGCAGCCTCCAAACCAGACACAAAAACCAGAGAGACTACAAAAAAAGCAGGAAAAGTTGTTCTGATTAATATTACATTAAATTAAAACTGATTTTCTGCTCTTTTTACTTTGCTTTCCCCCCCTGTTTCTACTTCCCATGCCAGCTCCCTGGGAGCTGCCTTCCCTTGCCGCCCTCCTTGGCCAGCCACAATTGCCTAGTCATTTCCAATTCCTTCTTGTATTGATCTTCCTGTAGAAATCAGTTTTGTAATTAGCTGCAAATTAGGCTTTCTGCTGGGGGTGAGGCTGGCCACTGATTTATCACCAGAGTAATTCGCTGTGATCGGAGAGAAATTAAAATGAACTCAATTAGGCTTTGGATTTGCTTTATGGGCCCCATTCAGAGTTTCTGGGGGAAGAATGACTGTGCTGGTGTTTAATAGTCTAATGAAAGTAAATAAAGGTTATTCATTGTAATAAACTCAGGGACTCAGGGATATCAGGAGTCCAAAGCCAACTTCTCCTTCACTTCTCTTGTTGGATTACTGCACCGGGTGGTTTTAAAAGACTTTTGATCTTTCTGTTTAGACAAACCACTCAGTAGATAAAAGGCAAGTCCAGGGAGGTAGGAAACGCTGACGGGAGGGGTGACGTTTCAGAGCAGAGCGCAGGCTTGACATCAAGCAGTAAGAAAAGACGCTATTCTTTCAAGAGGCACCTCTGTGTTGAGCACAGAGAACAGAAGGGGTGAATAGTTCTGCTTAAGTCAGCTAGGTCTACTTCTTCCTTGGCCTGTAGGCCATCTGCAATACAGTTATCATTACCCAACAGTTTGGAGAAAGCACAAGAAATCCTAGTCAGCAGGACCTCCTGTTAGAAAACTCAGCAGGAGAATGCCTTGTAAATTGGAGTATTTCTTATATAATTCTAGTTGGTGTCTATTGTGGAGTAAATCCTAGTGTGATTCATTGGTTTTACTTCTACATAAGGATGCACAGAATTGTACACACTACTTGTCCAAAATGTGTTTTTAAATGTGTACCACTTCTTGCAACTAATTCTTTTTATTTGACCACATACTCACTGATTGGTGTGATGGTTCATAATAAATATTTAATTCAGGCATTGCTTTATAACTTTTGTGTCTTTAGTGCCCTAGAAAAATGTACCAAAAAACTGCTAAATATATTCAAGTCAAGTCAAGTTCAGTTTATTATGATAAATGACCAATATTCAAGTCTTAATAAAATCTACTTGAAGGACCAAATTTTAGATCAACTGTTACAAGAGTCACTGTTAGAGATCAATGGTGTAAATGACTGCTAGAGTTCCTGCTTGGTGAAAGAATCAACTCCCAACTTCAGTCAAGCGAACAAAGATTTTCGCATGTGTCTGCATGTTAGCAAAGTCTGGTCAACTTTAAAAATACCCTTCCTCTAAAAATCCCAGACCAAAACAGAGTAATACCTTTTTAATAACAATCTTTAAGTGTTTGGTCCATGTGTGGCTATTTGAGAGAATTCTCAAGTAATGAAGTCATCAAACAGAGTATGTGTGTTTTTGCATCTACAAAAATATTAAACTTTCTATGGGTAGCTAATGTTTGCCTACAATACTTTTAAATTATTAAAAATTGTATTTTAATGTCTTAATTCTTTTAAAAACATGATACAATCTGCTAGGAATATTCTGTTTCAATCCATGTTCTAAAATGCCTTTGGTTTCCATATCAGGAAAGGCTATTGAGTGATTGAATAAATAAATAAATAAAGGGTTGTATTACATTTGTGTGTATTTCTAAGTAGTGCATGTATATGTTTAAATTGTAGGCTGCAGTTAACATCTGGTTGAAGTATAGAACTTCAACCAGAGGCTTGTATTAAGAAAACTATCTCCAAAAGAAAACTACAGAAGGGAAAAAGAATCTCTAACTAGTTCAAAATCCACTTTAAATCCCGTTTCTGCCTCCTGCAGAATTTTGGGGTTTGTAGTTTAGGGAGGAGCCTTTAACAGCCTCATTAAACTACGAACCCCAGAATTCTGCAGGATGCAGAAACCAGATTTTAAGAGGGTTTTTTTTCTGTAGCGTGATGAGACAATTGTTACCACCCTTTTCTGTGTTGTTTTCATGTGTTTATAAGCACTGTGCAGGTGTACATGCCACTAGCCTCTAAAAGTAACATGGCTGTTTTATCCAGAAAGACTCTTCATGGATGTGTGATTGTATGTATGCATGAACAATCAAGTTTTTCATATGTGCAGGCAATCAAGGAAGCAAACCATGGCCCTCCTCTAGGGACTCACGGGAACCTTTTTCATTCTATCTGCGTTTTTTGTACTTTCACTACATATGTTGATAGTATGTTTACATTAATTTTCAAAGAGTGTCAGTGTTTGTATCCACTCATGTAGGATAGGTGGGCACCTAAAAGTGGATATGGTATTGGCTACGCCTTGCACAACGAAAGGTCTGTTTATATTACAAACTGTTCAAATGAATCCTAGAAACTATAGTTTGGCAAAGATGTCAAGAATCCTCTTACTAGATAGTCCCCTTTCCTATAGTTCCCAGGAAAGAAGTATTAACTAGTAAATGAGTCTAAAGTCTAAAGTGTAGATCTTCCAAGAAGGTAAGGCAGGTACAAGAGGGTGGAAGTGAACTATCTGTTGCCTTCTGGAGCTGCATATATCCCATAAGCTTCTTTTCCCCAGACTGAGTCCACACCTGCTCAGATTTGATGTGCTCTGATGACTGAAACACATCTGGGTAAGAAGGACGCTCGAAGACTCGATCTAAAGCTTCCAGCTGCTGTTGTGTGAAAGTGTCGGCACGAAGGTGCTTCCGCAAACTATCCACACTGCTCTGGGAATCGCCGTTGGGGACTGAGCCTTCGGATACTTCTATCAGAGACAGGAAGAGACAACAGGGCATTAGTAAGGTTTCCTGTGTGCTGTAGGTACCTGATATCTCCTCTCAGGTTTCTCCACAAAAGAGTCTGGTCCCTTTACACTTCCTCCCTCTGCCAAGGCCACCTCCCGAGAGTACACTCTTCACCAGAGAAATCACTGGGGCTTCAAAAGCACAGCCCAATACTTCTGTTCTGGGGTTAATATTTTCATTAAAGTTCAGGATATGATTGGCTAGGTATGATATGGAATGGGCAGCATAATGATTTATGTTAGTTGAGTCTTATTCTTAAAAATTACAAACTCATCAGTGCCAAGCAGGAGAGGGACACCTGCTTACGCAGAATACAGATAATTCTTAGTTTCCCAGAAAAAGTTTAGCATTGTGCATTTGCTGAACTTTGATAGAGATGACCTCCATAGCACAATATAAACCACTGTGATCCAAGCATCTTTGCATCTGACATGCCACCTTACAAAGTAATAAAATCCAAATGTACTGAGTTCCAGGTGTGATTCCACTCCTTCTACCATATGTACCTAAGGCTGTCTACATTGGCTATATGAGTTGGATTGAGGGTGAACGGACCCTTTGGCATCCACATGACACATACAGCCCATTTCCTGCCTTCTCCCACATTAAAAAAAGTCACAGCATGCTCCAGAACTTGCCCATATTTTGAGCCAGTGTAAACAGTTGGATCCCTTCTCATTTGGAAATGGTCATAGTTGTTTACAATGCCATCCAGCTTTCCCTGGTCTCGGCCAACCCAAGGAGAGGGGATAGCACTTTGTCCTTAGTAGTGACCACCATGTAAACAATGGTGGAGGTCACCACTCAGAGCCTGTAGAAGTGGTTGCTAAAGTGATAAAGCGATTGGAGAAGAGAGGCGGGAAAGGGGGGAGCAATTCCTTCCCCCCTTTCCTCTCTCACATCACTATGTTGTTCCAGCTATAATCTCTACATGCACCATGTGGCAACTACTGCTGTTTTTTTGCACAATAGTTGCTGCTAAAGCCAGATAAATAGCAGAAAGGTAATGGTGGTCTGTCAATGCCAAACTAGTTCTGATGCCATAGGGCTGTGCAGATGCTATCCAGCCATTAGGCTGGCTTGAGGCTGTGCAGTGTAGACACCTGCCAGGTCCTGAGCCTGCTTGGTAGTTGGCCATGTGGACTTCAATGGCGCTGATCTGGAGGATCCTATTCCAGATCTGTATTGCCATTTCTGGTACATACAGATGCTCCCCTTGTGTCAGAAAAGAGTTGTTTTGTTTTTGTTTCATTTGGTTTTTCACATGCATGTTGGGCATTGAATTTTGCCATGCTTGCATTGGAAACCAGTTTGAGTCCCCCAAGGGGTGAGAAAAGTGGTATATAAATACAGTAAATAAATAAATCAATAAATAAATGTTAAGGGTAACAACACATTTAAAACTGAATTTCTTAGTAATTCCTTCAAGAATAAGCTAGATAATCCGCATTAACTTTTGCTTTATTCTATATCCAAGTTTCACATGAACTATGCATCACTAGACTCTCAAAATGTTAGAATATCATCTATTTCTCTACATCAAAAATATTGAAGCCCTGCCATGGATTGTATGTTACACAATTTGGCTTATATTTTTGGAGTTCTTGGTGACAACAACATAAGTGCTCAGCAAATTTAAAAAATTTGGGACAGATTCATAATTAGGTAGACAATTCATGAAATAATTACATATGTTACTTTTAATGAGAAATACTTTCCTTTTCCATTCCCAAGGAAAGGAGGTTTGGAAACTTAACTTTAAAAAAATGTTAGGAGTCATTCTGGGATCCAAATTGGAGTCCCTCCTTCAAGGTTACTTCTCTATTATGAATGACTTATACTGCCACTTTCTTTCTGATTCCTCTACGTGTCAGCTGATATGTGATTATACAATATGGTATAGTCAATACTGCATTATACACAGTAAACTAATACAGTATTACCTGTGAGAGCATGGACAATATCTTGTTTTAATTAGTACAAGTCTGCCGTTTCCTGCCTCTTTCCCTCTCTGATTTCCTTATGGAGGCAAAGGGGAATCATACTGTGAGGAGAGGGGAACACTTTTTGCTGACGTTAACCTTCTTTGTGTGTGCCTTCCAGTCACCTGTCAACGTATGGCGATCACATTAATTTCTTAGGTAAGGAATATGCAGAGGCGGTTTTGCTAGTTCCTTTCACTGAAATATAGCCTACAGCACCTGATCTTCATTGGCACTCTCTCATCCCAAGTCCCCTGCTTAGATTCCAAGGCCAGACAGAAATATTCTCTCCTTATTTCCACAGAAACAGATTCTTGAAGTGCTGGGATCACTGACCCAATTCTCAGATCTACATATTTCATTTTAACCTGCTTTAACAAAAATTGTTGGATACTCAAGAGTTTCCTCAAAATTTGGGAGTATCTAGCTACTTTGGAGACGTACATATAATCAACTGTGCCACTTCCCATTTGGTGGTCGACACTGCTAAGCGGCTGAAATGATGACATACAGAGTGCTGAGGAAACTGGGGGCAAAAAGAGGGGAGAAAGGGCAGCGATTTCTCCTCCTTCTCCCCTCCCCACAACACTCTAAATATTGTCACTCCAGGTGCCAAGAAGTGTCCACTGCCGTTTTCATGCCCACTAGGGACCACTAAGGTAAGGTCAAGGGAAGCAACCAGCTTCAGCATCACTCACTCATGCTGGCCATCCAACCACCAGGGCACTTTGGGGGCATGGAGTGTAGCCTCCATGTAACCTAAGCTAGTTTGTGGGGGGGGGGGGGGGGGGGGGGAGACAGTATAGCCTCTGTGATGCTGATCCAGAGTAGCCCACTCCAGATCAGTATTGCTATATCTCCCCTGTCATGATGTAACCAAAGTCAACACTTTCTGCACCACCTATTGGTAGCAATCTATGTAATAAAAATGTAATGTTCATTTGTGGGATTAACACAACTCAAAATCCACTGGACAAATTGACATGAAATTTGGACACAATACACCTATCAGGCCAACAAATGACCGTCACTCATAAAAACACTGAAAAATACAGCAGAAGAGACTTATAAAAGCTAAAAAAACAAAAAATACATTGCAATGCATACGCAAAACACACATATATACACATATACACACACATATATATACACACACACACAAAATACATACAAAGACTGGGCCACAGCAATGCGAGGCAGGGGATAGCTAGTGAAGGATAAAATGAGATAAAATAGAAGTTCTGATGCTTATGTAAATATTTTCCCTTCCTGTGTTCTTGGGCAATGCTTTTAATTAAGAGACACCTGTGATTTATGTTTTTAACTGATCTTGTTATGATTTTATGCTATATGTCAATGTTTTTAATTGTTTTATGTTGCAGTTAGCATTGAATTGTTGCCTTGTTAACCGCCCTGAGTTGTATACAATTAGAGTAAATAAATAAATATTCTAACACATTATCAAATCACAAAATATGTGGCATTAGCTAACATGTGGAATGTATTTATTTTCATGTTAAGCTATTGTGACATTAATAAATAATTTTCAGACTTAAGTAGAGTCTCACTTATCCAACATAAACAGGCCGACAGAACACTGGATAAGCGAAAATATTGGATAATAAGGAGGGATCAAGGAAAAGCCTATTAAACATCAAATTTCATTATGATTTTACAAATTAAGCACCAAAACATCATGTTTTACAACAAATCGACAGAAAAAGCAATTCAATACATGATAATGTTATGTAGTAATTACTGTATTTACGTATTTAGCACCAAAACATCGCAATGTATTGAAACAGCTGTGGATCCAGGCAGGAGGCAGACTGCGTTGGATAATGCAGGACATTGGATGAGCAAAGGTTGGATAAGCGAGACTCTCCTGTACATCTCCTAATACTTCCAACCATGCCGTCTTTCACATTTCCACATATCCACCTTCCCGCCCAAACCTTATGATGCTCAGAGATCACATTTTTAAAAGACGAAATATGTAATTGTGGATGTTTTACGATCCAGAATGGTGGAATTTGAATCGGAACACAGCAAAGTCCAGCTAAGTGGGATCAATTGCGGTTTTGCCAAATAGCACTTTATACAAAACTGCATGTTTTGTATAAGTGCTGTTTAAAGTAGAAATATGCCCAAATAACACTTGGTCACACATGAGTGAGGTTATTTATTTACTAATTTAATATCCTACTCTTTTCCCTGAATAGGGACACATGATTAGCAAGCAACATATATTAGGAACCTAATATGATTATATTAGGAATCATACAGTATGCACAAACAACCTCCATACATGAAAATCCCCCACAATTTATTTGCTTTTTCCTTCACTTAATCACTATCCATATATAACATTAAGCATGTTTAAGTATCTAATAAATGACTCCAGACAGGTGACTGCATCCATATTTTTTCTTTCCATGAAGTCCATTTTTTTGCCTTATGCTTTCCTATTTACCATGGGTTCTGTGCAATTTGTGGCACCGTAGGTTGAGAAATACTACATAAGTGCACACTCTTTCTTTTTTAATATTGTCCCTAAAAAATTTGAAACCTGAATCCCAAATCATCTCCGTTCTGAGCTGTACAAACTGAACTATAATCTAATTAATGCAATCTGTCCAGCAGCCACCTTTGTATCTACAATTCCACACAGAGCATTCATGCCTGTGTAGAAATGCGCATGTATACACTGCGACTTTGTTTTCAGGAGCTGAAACCTGAGCTATCTCAAGCCACTGTAAGCTTCTCTTTCCCTTCATTTATTCAGGTCCCTTCAGATCTTGACAAATCTGTCACTCTAAATTTGCGAGAGATTATGGTGCTCTCCCTAGTAGGGAGAGAGGTGATATATGATATCTGCTGCCCCTATTGATTGCCTGATCTGGTGGCAGAGGGCCAGCAAAATGAACTTGAAATGAACATCATGCCTCAACTCATTGTGCGTATAATACACTACTTAA